AAAATCAATGGGTGTCTAACTGTCCCATCTAAGGGCTCTCAAAAGAATTCAGTTTCCTTAATAATAAATCCAGGTAACTGAAAAGAAGTGCAGCTGGAAGGAAGGAAGGAAGGAAGGAAGGAAGGAAGGAAGGAAGGAAGGAAGGAAGCTCAGCCAATCATGATCAGTTTTGAGCAGTAAGGGAGATTGCTGCGGTCTGAGGACTTGCTGCCCCTCGCTGCTGTTTTCACCCCCTTTGTTTCTGGCTGTCCGTCTATTTCTACGTGAATTTAAAGAAATCCCAGCGTCTCTGAAAGCATCTCTGCTGCTTAAGCCGTCTGACTTCAGCTCTGACCTCACTACTGCACACTGAGCTCTAATGGAATCGCTGCTCTTTACACATAAACACATCAGTTCCTGATATTAAACCCAAACTCTCAGCAATATGTGTTTAATAACATAACAGCTACACTGATTGTTGTTTCTCTGTTACTGCATGTCATGTTTTTCCTGTTATTTTGTTAGCAATATCTACAGAGGATGAAACACTAAATATGCTAATTAATAACAATGATTTCACATATTCCATATTGTACATATTGTCTTTTCGCCGCTGCTATGGAAACATAAATAGATGACAAATGTCCATATTCTGGTAAATGGAGAAAACTCATTTCTGGCTTTTAGAAAGACTTCAGTATTAAATAACAACAGATAATCAATACGGTTATAAAAGTAAACGCAGTTATTTATAGTAAATATAAGTAAATATAACCAACAGAACATTAAAGTTTTTATGTGTTTTCGATGCACTGAGAATGTTTGATAGATAAAAATCATAGGTTGTTAATTAAAATATAAAGTCAAGGGTCCCTGCAGGTTTAATTAGAATCAGACATTATTGGTGTTTTTATTAATCTATGCAAGTTAAGGGTTGGTATGGAGTTAATTTTGTTACAATATTATTGCAAGCATAGAAAATTTTTATTTAAATGTAAGTTTAAAGAAAATACACATGTAAATTTAATTTTGAGAAACAAAAATATAATTAATTAACAGAACTTTGGAAAAAAAAAACAATGTTTCAATTAAAAAATTTTTGAAAGTAACTTTGATGTCTTTTCCTATTCTTTTTTTAAAATTATTTTTAAGGATTTTTCCTCATTTTATTCTTTGTAAATGTTACATTTTCTTATTTTTTTTATCCGTTTTTCAAATTTCTGTCTTTCATGCTAAGTTTTATGAATCCCATGCTTTTCAAATTGTGTTTCACATCCTCCTCACTTTAAGCCCAATCCAAACACTCCCACTTGACACTTACATGGACCGCGTCATGAGTAACATTCCAACTTTAAGCCTTTCTAAGAAACGTAACACATAAAAATGTGCAGCTTAGAAGTATTATCAGATGCAGGTCCAGGAGATTCTGCAACAGCTTCTTCCCCGCTGCCATTAGAGCGCTGAATGTTGAATAAAATAGGGGGGAAAAAAGTGCCGATTGTTGGAAAAACTGTAAATCATATCTCAGTCTTATGTTTACATTTGATTTCCGCTGCACTTCAAGAAATGGAAATGTCTTACGAGCTGTGCAGAACAAAATTTATTTTGGTATACACACTGTGTGTACAAATTGACAATAAATTCCGTCTAAGTCTAATTAAATAACTTTATGGTAAAAGCTCTGTTAACTGGGACAGTGAAGTCCGATTTACCTCAAGCTTTTTCAATATTTAAAAACTTTTATTCCAAAAAAAAAAGAAAAAAGAAAACTAAAAACAATCCACTGGACTTTGTTTCCAAGTTTGAAGACGTTTCGCTTCCCATCCAGGAAGCTTTTCAATTCAAAATGTCAGGAATAGCGTTAAGTTTGAGGTTTTATACAGCAGCCCAACAAAGCCTGGTTTTTGTTTAGACCTGGATGACTGAGAACCTTCACCAGCACACTTCAAAACTGATAGTTTCATGATGGATCATTTTAAAGTTATTGTTTTTTTTCCTCTAATTGCACCGACTACTTTCTGTCTGGAAATAAATAAAGCCAATAAACTCTGCGGTTGGTTGTGTGTCTAACCTAGGCCGAGGTGAACCACGTTGGTTAGTCTAACTGGGTCAGTTAAGTTCACAGCAGAACTCTCGTAAGGAGAGTTTATAATGATAAGATGCCATATTCATAGTCTCTTAAACTTGACTTTTAAAACACCATAATCCCATCCCAAGAGACAAAAGGAGGCAAATAATGTATCCTAGAGAAATGAAAACAGATCAAAGTCATAAAGCTACTGCTTGAACTTATATCTTTGTTGTTTTATTCTTGTTTTTAATGTTATCTTCTTTTATTTTCACACATCTACATCTAGAAGTTGATATGGGGTATTCTTAGTTTAAAAACTTAAATCTCTAGTTTTGCCCTTCTGCTCTTTGGGACATCCAGCCTGTAGGGCAGAGGTCACGGATTAGCGGAACGCGGTCCAGACCATCCTGCTGGCTAATCCGGACCCAACCTGATTCAAAATGTTTATAAATTACCACATGTTGTCCAAGGACAGTGTCTAAATTCACTTGCGCCGCTTCTCCTG